GTCGCATGGTGATCATGATGCTGGTTTGCTTGTTGGGACATAGCAGCGAGGATGTGTCGCGATGTAGAAGTCAGTGATATACGAGCACATGACGATGCAGAAACGATATCAGTACATGACCGTCCAGAAGTGTACCGGAATATAGTGGTCACGCATGGCCGGATGGTACCCGAGCTTCAATGTTCCTGCAGCCACATAGGCTGAAACCCGCCGACGAAATGTGAAGAACGCGCAGTGCTTTGTGGGTCACGCCACACCCCTCCCCCCCCCCCCCATCCAAAACACCACACACACACACACACACACACACACACACACACACACACACACACACACACACACCACACAACACACAACACACAACACACACACCCCCCACACACACAACACTCTCTCTCTCTCTCTTCTCTCTCTCTCTCTCTCTCTCTCTCTCTCTCTCTCCTCTCTCTCTCTCTCTCTCTCTCTCTCTGGAATGCAATAAGGCAAACCAATCATGTCACGAGAGTGCTTCGAAACCCCGAGACGCAACAGGTTTTGAATGTCACAGGGCGTCGGATAGTTACTAGTTCAGATCCCATTACAGCGCAAAATGGATAATGAAAGATACCAGCCTATGTGTTATATACCGAACGCTGGGCTGCGAAGTCTGTCAATTCCAAATGCAGTAATTTCTCAGGTTTCCAAAAGCCACGTGCATGAGCTGACAGGCTCATGACGCAAGTGACCCTCGAATCGATGCCGCTTGCATGGGAGCGGGCGATAGAGTCGGCCCGGCGGCCACCAGCGTCACGGGGCGCGGCGTTAGAGCCGGCGCCGCTGCGGGGTGGCCATTTGGCCGCCGCCGCCGTCGCCAGCCGTGCGACCTTAGTGTAGCGATAAACCGGAGCATGGCGCGCCGGCCAGCCGTCACCTCCTGCACGCAGACGGCGGCGCGCCGGCCAATCGGGACCAGGCACGGGCGGCCGCGGCGGCCGGGCACGCTGCTGGCCGGCCGGCGGGAGGCGGGGAACGACGGCGAAATATGGAGAGGAGGAGCAGGCGTATGAACTCCGCTGCCGCGAGAGAAGTACTGAACACGCGGAGGTGACTGTGATGGAAAGGGCTGGCAGGATGAAGGGAGTGAGGACGACCAGCAGGGCTCAACGGAGTACTTCGGGCTTGCAGTATCAGCAGAGTCGATAGTCGGGTGAGAGCAGGGTTAATAGGCATCAAAAGATCACTACCGCCTGAAAATGTCTGCTCGTTGAAGGTGAGAGCGATCGCCGGCAAATCCAAAAGGTCAGCAAAGTTCGCAGAGATTGGAGGCGCTCGGTTCAGCAAGTCGAATCTTCAGGCGATGCTTAGGCCCTCGGGGATTGCTCCGATCCGCATGGGCGTGCAGCGTAGCGTAACCCAGCCAATTATCGACCACCGCCGAAAATGCAGCTGCGGCGCGTTAGAACTCGGGCTTTCCCAAGCTAACGCGGGATACTTAACCAGATCTGTTTCCCGCCGCACTGACGTCACCGGCCCGTGGTCTGAACTCCTGGCATCCCCTCCCCGTGACGCTGACGTCATAGGTCCGTGGTCCAAGCTCGTGGCATTCCCGCCCAGAGACGCTGACGTCAACGGGCCGTGGTCCGAGCTCGTGGCATCCCCGCCCCGAGACGCTGACGTCAACGGGCCGTGGTCGAAGCTCGTGGCATCCCCGTCCCGTGACGCTGACGTCAACGGGTCGTGGTCCGAGCTCGTGGCATCCCCGCCCCGTAACGCTGACGTCATAGGTCCGTGGTCCAAGCTCGTGGCATCCCCGTCCCGAGACGCTGACGTCATAGGTCCGTGGTCCAAGCTCGTGGCATCCCCGCCCCGAGACGCTGACGTCAACGGGCCGTGGTCCAAGCTCGTGGCACCTCGCCCCGCGACGCTCGTGTTTCAGTCATCGACTCGCGACTCGCCGCCGCCGGAGCGGACTCGGCAGGTCTGACTAACGGACGAGAGAAAAACACCGGCGCCTTTTGGAGTTGGGCTATTTGTGGAATGAACGGCGACATGGAAGCGGGCCCCTTCATCAGTTTAAAGCGAGTGTGGAGGACGCTCGGACGTGGAGCTCCCCGAACGCAAAATACATGGCTTCAAAAATTGCGACAGATGTCCTGGACAGGATCTTTCAAGCATTAACTTGCTCGTCTAGTCCTCCGAAACGTCCTCAATGATGTACATGGTGCCTTCGCATTCATTTGTTGGGTGGTCCAGCAGTGTTGTGCTCCGTTTATGTTCCTCAGGCGTTTAACAGTCTATTGCATGCATGCACGTACATGCATACCTTAAACTCATCACTCAAGCTGTGACGTTCCCATTCGTTAGAGTTTGTTCATTTAGCTATGCGGCCCCTGAGCCGGACACGGTGCGGCGGTTTACGTGCTTCTCACAAAGCTACGACACAGTCGACCCGGGCCTGGCCGTAGCGTATACCTTAAATGCGTGTGCGTAGCACAGTACGATTAGGTCGTGTGTCATGTGTTTGCACACGGAGGACATTGTATTTAGTTTGGGTTGGTTGAGGTGATAACCGAGATGCATAGGCATCACCAGCATGTATAATATACCAAAGTCGAAGCAAACAAAGTCGGGTGTCTTTGAAATGCTTACAGCGGACTTTTTAATAATACCCACTATGTCTGAAAAGGCCCACCTCCTGATCGTTTATTGGAGTACCTATGGAGCAGACAGAAGAAAGCCGGCCAGGAGATTTGTAAATGATACAGCTACATACATAAACTCACTCATGCTGTGCGATGTGTCTCATGTGACACATTTGGTTGCCGGGTTCTGACATCAGTCCCCTCTAACGCCCAGGAACATGTGCATTCATGCTGTGCGCTCAGGTGAGTGCAATCTGCCGCACACAGTGATGCAGGCATGCGCACACAGTGATGCAGACATGCGCACACAGTGATGCAGACATGCGCTCCGCCACTCAATAAGGCCCGAGGTGCTCTTCCTATTTCTAGTCAAGTCGTGCTTAATGATCCTGAGTGGCTACTTGTGGTTGCTCGATTGTCGAAATTGGTACCGCCTTCCTTTGTTGGTGCATTAATGAAAAAACTTGATTGTAAAAGCACGCACCAAATTGGACAGCTACCAAGTATACGTACATCGGTTCCCGGTAACTACTTTCATGCACCGGAAAAAGAATTTTCCAAAAACTTTTTTTGTAAGGTATTTCAGTTCATGAGCGTCACTTTAGATACCTTCGAGCGGCCTGAGCCCCCTCTTCCAATGCCAACTTGAGCATCCCCCTTAGGCCACTCTGAATCTCTTCAATACATATGATCAAAGAGGGAGTACCGAGTCAAATAAATACAGAGCAAGTGTCTCAGCTATTGGTATACAAAGTAGTAGGTACCTAAGCGCATCACTAGTAGTAGCGTATCAGTTATGTACCAACTAGTATCCTGTAGGCACCCAATTTTTTCATGCCGACGTTTTCACATGTCAAGCCAGTCTGCAAATATTTAATTTTTTTGAATTGATAACTCCGGGATTGAAATAACGAGCAATAAACTGTAATATGCGGCAGCTTTTAAACATACGTTTTGGCCCAGACCAGTGGCAAGTGTGTTTGTCGCATGATCGTGGCTGTGGTGGTTGTACAACACGACTGGCGACAGTGGCAGTTTTCTGTGATGCCTTACAAAGATTCGCTAACATGTTTCATTTTACGCTTTTCACAAAAACACAGCTCACATTTACTTGAAATGGGATGTCATTCCTCCGCAGCAAAACAATCTAAATCAACAAAATGTTTCAATTTGTCTCGATTTTGACGTCGAGGTGGCAAAGTCAGGTTACCGAAGTCCGGGGAGAAATCAGGTTTTTGGGTAGGTTTGGCAAACCTTTTCGGCCTAGTTGTCAGAAAGTATGACACATTCAGCAAAAGTATGCCGTAGAAAGATGCTTGTTTTATAGTCCAAGGCTATGCACGCGTGTCCGACGCGCTGAAAGGCTCCTGTGTTAACAGACTTTTAGTTGATCAATAATTTCGTCAGCATTTTCAATTTCACAGCAAAGTGGCACTTAATCAACAAGGTAGCATGCCTAACGAGTCTTACTTAAACAGTGATAAAACTCTCCGTTTGAGAGGCCCGATCAGGCCTGGTCTGGCCACCGCACCATTCTAGAATAACATACCTGCGACCACTGGTGGTAGCGCATGTGCGAATAGAGCTTTGCGACGAACTCAGCTGCAGTTGCGCAGAAGTTGTTCAGTCAGGCGTTGTTTTCCTGTCACACAGAAAACATTCATGCAATATTCTCAGCTTTTCAGTCACCATGTCAAGCCATTAAAACAAGCAGCTGTAGGAGCGCCATCCACTCAATCAAATCGAAAGTCTCTCGCTCATTCATTTTCCGTACGAGGCATACGTACGACACCGGCTTTTAATCGTGGCACATGGCTGATATGCTGCATCACTTCTGAAAAATCGGTGCTCAACACTTTTAGTAGCCTCATCACAAAGCCACAATCATCTAGACAGAGGAAATATGGCATAGATATTTTTTCCACGCAGCAGAAACGCATAATACATATTTGCATGAAATCGCATTGTCTCGACAAAACAACAAATCAAATGTTGCCACATTTCATAATCATTCCATGATGCATCACACACGAGTACTGCCATCAATTCTTAAAACATCTATGTGAAAATTGCCGGATTTGTAGCTTACGTTCAAGAGCGCCTGCTCACAAAGATACGTCCATATTTATGCCAGCATAGTGATCCACTTTCTCCTCAGTAAATGTGTCAGCCTTGTGCCGGTGAGGCAAAGGATGACTGAGATTTGGGCCTGTTTTGACCCGTAGCAAGTTAGCAAATTCGCTGGCGGAAAATTGGATGCTCTCATGCTGATGTAATGAATAATATTATATTTTCCTCAAACCACAATGCTGCAAGAACATCGCAGCCGACTTGAAAATTGCATAGATATGTTTAAACATTACGGAGCCTCATTTTTACAGAACTGTCTTTCACATTGCCACAAACTGCACGAAGTTGTGGTTCGTGGTTGCAAATACATTGGCTTCAAGGAAGTGTGACAGCCAGGCCTCGCCGCTCAAATAGAAAATGTGCTAGCTGTATTTGAGTTGAAAGACGCGGCGAGGCCTGGCTGTCACAAATAGAAAATGTGCTGGCTGTATTTGAGCTGAAAGACGCAGCGAGGCCTTGCGTGATTGTGATGAATGACTGGCATGACCGAATGTTTGGGTTGATAGCCAAAAACATAACATAACGCGTCGAAGGTAATATTGCACATCGCCCATTTCTTCACACTCCGGCTGTGGAAGACCCCATTGCGCAATGTGCAGCCGGTTTGCAGGTAGATGATATTGCTCATTCGATAGACACAAGATGTGTACCTCTCTCGTCGTAGAAACGACAAGACGACCACAGTGTCTTTAAGATGAACAACGTCATCTACTTGCACTGCGATTGCGCCATGCGGTCTTGCACAGCCGGAGTGTCGAACAAAGAACAGCGATCGACTGACAACGACCGACTCCTGAGCGGCTCGGCGCCGGCCTGTGACGCTGCCTCGCGCTTCTCCCGCCCCTGTGGAGCTCGCTGGAGACGCAGTCAGTCGACTCCTGAGCGGCTCGGCGCCGGCCTGTGGCGCTGCCTCGCGCTTCTCCCGCCCCTGCGCAGCTCGCTGGAGACGCAGTCAGTCGACTCCTGAGCGGCTCGGCGCCGGCCTGTGACGCTGCCTCGCGCTTCTCCCGCCCCTGCGCAGCTCGCTGGAGACGCAGTCAGTCGGCTTTGCCTGTCGCTGTGCTTACTGCTTCTCCTCCGGCTGCGCAACCCTGTGAAACCGTCGTCTCCCCGAATACCACAACGGCATCGTTTGGTCTGTCTCAGGGCGTTGAGTGGCCACCCCCTCCTTGGCGTGTGGTTTTGGCAGCTCTCACCCCCAGGCGTTCGCAGTGGGCGCAGCGCTAGGCTGCGTTTGTTCCGCCTCCACCAAGTGCTCTTCCTCTGTCATGCGAGCACGACAGCGGCACTGCGCGGCCGCGGCCGCCTACCGCCTCACCCCAGCCTCCTCCAAGTGATACGGAGGTGCAAGCGCTCAATTTAAAGCGCTCACCCTTCAAACGGAGTTAGTATTCGTACAGGAGCAGAAGAAATCACAACAAGACGCTATTCTCCTCCACCAGCACCAAAAGGGCTAAACCGCACGATGTAAAAGTTATGAAAGAGAAGTTTGCTAACTGGAGCCGTTGCGCTGTTGCGACAGAGGGAGAACGCCCGATGGGGGTGGAGAGAAACCCTTATCTTAAACCAGGGGTCAACAACCAGCTGCGCCAGAGCTATCTTTGTTTTCGGGCCGTCCTCTGCTGGGATGGACGCCCAGAGGAAGAGCTGTCATCTTCAAACGTCAACATATTGAACAACGGGCTACATTAACGCGGATTTGGTAGGCAATAGGTAGGTAACCAGATGGTAGGTACGGGCAGGCTATTTTAAGTACACCGAGGTCAAACTGAGTTACATGAATCTGAACAACAGCACTACATCTTTGCGACTGTTCAGGCCAGGAATTTTTCTCCGTTCATCGCTTCATGAACCATTGACCAGAAATCCGGTAGGTCCTTGCAGACGTCCCCTTTCCGAGGCTCTGACCCGATATAATGGAGTTCAAGCAGTTTTCGCGCGTTTTATTTTGTCCTATCGCTGAGTGTCAACAATAACATATTTTCGATTATTCGCGCGCAAAATGTCTGCTTTGCGCTGTTTGACATTCCTTGTTTAGGGAAATATAAGCTAAGCCTTTGCCGAAAATCACTGAACGCACGTGGCACGTGCTCCAAACTGTGCAAAACTTAAAGTTCTCAAATATTCCGTTTGTTGTTAAAAATGGCGGTTGCGGCCATTGCTGATTACAGCTGGCGAACTGGCAAACGTTCGCAGATGGGACATGCATACAGCCTTTTTTGTTGATAGAATGAAAGACGGCAAGCATATTTGGTGTACTGCAGCTCCACAAATGATAACAATCTATGATTTAGGACGATTCCATGGTCCATATATAACACACCTGAAAATGATGTCGTAAGCGTTTCGACCAGTTTTATCGTGCTTTTCAATTATCATGAAAAATTAGTTCTGGTGAAGTTCATTTATCTTCAAAGCTTTTGTTTAAGATGATAGTAAAGATTTGTGATGCAAAACGAATGGGACCTGGGTGACGCACACACCGATCACTTGACTCCATGTGAGGTCACTTTGACGTAATTGCAAGCCTCTATCCACATAAATGCGTCAATGTAAGCATATCTGCATACAACATATTGAAATATGTAAGCATTTACAAAACATGTCTGTTTCGAGAATGGTCTTCTCGGAAACACACACTTCTGGGCCTACAGCGAGAAGGTGAAGCAGTGAGACAACGGAAACAGTACGAACATAACGGCGCAGGGGTGTAGCTTCCTCTTCTGTTGGAGGAGGAAGAGGCTGAAGCCACTTCACCAAATTAGGCTGTAGGCCAACCCACGGGAAAAAACACATTTGTTGGCTTTTTTGTTGGTAGGTCACGCCATTTCTGACCGCTCAGTTTTCCCCCCGCCCCACACAACTCATGTTGCAAAACTACGCCCATGCAACGACGATAACCCCGATCCCCACCGAGATGTTGGCCGATACAAAGGCATAACCCGACACACCACCCACACGGTTGTCACTTCAGCCCGCCTGCCGTTGCAGCTGCCGCCGCCTGTGAGCTAGTCATGACGTCGACGGCCGCGCCGGGAGACAACCAGGGCGGGTCGGCCCAGCTGCCCGACCTCTGGCTGCCGCACGTGGTGCAGCTGCTGTACGAGCTGGACCAGGGCGGCCACCTGCTCAACGGCAGCGGCCGGCTGCTGCAGCCGCGGCTGCGGCCCGTCTTCGCGCGCCTGGCGCCGCCCGTGGTGGCGCTGTACGCGCTGCTGGCACTCGCCGGTGGCGCCGCCTGCCTGCTGGCCGCGCGTGCCCTCTGGCGCTCCGGCGCGCCGGCCGCGGTCCCCGCCGCCCTCTGGCTCAACGTGATGGTCGCCTGTTTCGCCAACTGCGCCGTGGTGCTGCCACTGACGCTGACGGTGCTGCTGCTGGAGAACTGGGTGCTTGGCAGCACCATGTGCTTCATGCTGCCGATCATGCAGGTGGGGCTGGGCGGAGCTGGCTTGAGTACTGGCTCACCCTCGGTGGCCGACGCCATCCGAGTTCGGCTGGTCTCGGATGCTGCGTCCTGTCGGCAGCACGATTTTGTTTAAGGAAATTACGGTCACATGTCACCGCCGATGACAGATAGTACAATATTTTAAATGCAACAATCGCGATGAATGACATATTACTGTCAACGTTCAGTAGTACTCAAAACATGGTAAGCCCGTTCAAAATTGCCATGTTTAGCGCGGCAGTTAAGCTAACTGACATCACATGTGCACCTCGCGCTAATGCATGTGAGGTTTCAACAGATTGCATTGAATGCCCGCTAATTCAGGGTCGTTGCATCACAGCGTGCCGTCATCCCTTGCGTGACCCTGTGCAAGCACTATCAGACTCCGCCTGCCTGCGAACGGCGAGGACCCGAATCTGATGTGCCTCTACGTCGCCTGGAACAGGACACACCTCTGAACCTGGTGACGCTGACGCTACTGCTGATCACGGCGACGCAGTACCACCGCCTGCGGCAGAGGGAGGTGTGGCCGTCCAGCTCGCTCATCAGCCTGCTGGCCGTCTGGCTGACCTCGATCTGCACTGCGCTGCCGTACCTCATCTACACCGACTACCTGGACATGGAGGCAAGTGGCGGGTCCGGCCGCCGCGGCCGCTGCGTACGGCCGCATCAGCCTCAGCTGGTGTACACTGCGTGCAGGCGTCGCATCTTGTGGGCGTCTGAACTCGTCCTGCGCGGAGAGGGTTTGCACACTGCACTGCACGCCACCACGGCTGTGCGGCGGAACGGCGTGTACATGAGGCGCATCCGCCCGCACAGAGGCGAGCGAACACATCAGACGGGTTAGCACGCTGAGTGAAACAGTTAGTACACTGCTCAAAACTTGCCATAAGGATGGTGGCCTGGACATGGTGATATGGTGACATGGACAGGGACTTGGACATGTCAATAAATTACAGTGGAAATACTTATTCTGCATGCACTTCCCTCCATTCAGTTCTACCGAGTGCTTGATTACCATTTTTTGTTATTTTTGACAGCCATGATTACAATTCAGATGGATGTTAACACATTCGAATGCGAAATTATGAGACCGGAGAATCCATCATGCCAGAATTGAATCCGGCATGGAAATCAGACGCTGATGCCAGATGAATGCCTATGTAGATTCGATTTTCCAACGCAAGCTATATTGGTCAAGAACCTACCGACGTTCAGGCTACATGCGGCTAAAACTGATTGCCCGTGATGCAGTGACATGTTAAATGGGATGAGTGACGCACCGGGCGTGAATTATTCATCGCCGGTCGGCTCGCCGCTCTCCGGCAGGTTTACTTCGGGCCCGCCATGCAAGGGGTCGGCCTCTGTGTTGTCAACATTGCACACGACGTGGGACCTTTCACCAAGGTTCTCTTCGTTTGCATGTAAGTGCTCAAGAAAGATATCTAATGAAACAGTGTCGCTCTTTTGTCAGGAACAAAATAGCAAAAGTCGCAACGTGCAATGACTGAAGATTTGAGCGGAGTTCAAAACACGTTGGGTAACTTAACGTCATTGATCGTGAAATGATGTGCTGGCGTCGTGAATCGAGCATGAAGTTACTGAAGTTAAGAAGTTACAGACAATCATCCCACAAACTAACAACGACGAATTTTGATCATCAGGTACCTTCTACCAATGCTGCTAATCGGCATATTTCACTTCCTCATCTCACACCATCTGAACAAATTTGGATCATCTCGTTTCCACTCAGATGAAGATTTGGAGATGGAAAGCACTAGCCTTCATCAGTAAGTACCAAGCGATGGAATGGTGTCAGCAGGCTCCAATCGTCACTTTTGCTACAAATGACAATGTTTTGTCCTCATCTGTGTTAATTTGCGTTGTCGCGTCATGAAGCGACAGTGCTTGAAAACGCAACTGAAGCGCAAAAATACTAGATAAATTGACAACATGACTTGCCATCAAGTCGCATAATTAAAATGAGCACACCCATTCCATGGACGTTTCTCAACGATCTGAATGATCCTGATCTGTTCGGAACGCTTAAAAATCACCCGGTGCTACATTATATCTATGTATGTTTCCAAGCGCTCTGGAGCGCGCAACCTAAAACTATCTGGGAAATCACAAATCAAACAGCTTGCGAGAACCTGAGATCCTCCCGCCCGCTACACTGGAGTCACGTGGTCTCATCGGTCAGGCGTGGCGCGGCGGCGTTCCCGCCGGCGGCGGGGGAGGACCGGGGCGCCGGCCCGCCCCTGACGGAGCGAGGCCTTGACCTGCAACGTCAGGTGGTGGCCCACAAGTACTTGCTGTGCGTGACGCTGCTGTACGCCGTCTGTCTCTTCCCCCTCATGGTGCTCAGGTTAGTGTCCTGTTTGTTGATCGTGCCCACGTAGTGCATTGTCTGTCGATGGTGCTCATGCAGTGTCCTGTCTGCTGCTGGTGCTCATGGTGCGTTCCGTCTGCTGCTCATGCTGATATTATGTTCCGTCTGTCTGGCTGCTGTTGGTGCTGATGTTGTGTTCTGTCCGATGCTGATCCTCAGACAAGCTACTTGTGAAATCCAGGACCAGTGTCACTTCACCCTTCTCAAGCTGTCACTGGCAGTGTAGACCGTGTAAATTGCTCGAACGAGGAACTCGGGCAATGTCTTGCGACGTGCATAATAATTGCATGGATAAACTTTTAATTGGATGCTCTCAATAAGACTAATACTTTGCCTTCATTCCAGGGTAGCGAAGCAGGCAATCTACGAGACGTACAGCAATACGCATTACTTCGACATCATTTACGTCGTGTTCGTGTGGTCCTGCTTCCTACCGAGTTTTACCACGCCTGCTCTGTACCTGATCTGGAACAGGCAGAGGTACGGCATTTTTAAGCTCCCAATACATCAGTAATGTGATTGTATGAAGAGCAACGCCTTTCCCGTTTCTCGCATACGTTTTAATTGTCGTTGTTTGCCATCCGCACGCCTCTCACTACTTGTGCTTGATGAGGTCAGCCTCAAGTATGTTTTGAACCGTACACCGGTCTTGCGACTTGTCTCATCACGCCTTCTCGCACACTGGTGTTCTGGCAACATCCGCTAACGCATGTCTCATCCAAACTCCATGGTTATAGAAAAGACCACTATCCACAAGGACACTCAGCACGCGTTCAGCAATACGACTAGGAACCACTCCCTTCTAATGCCCGGGACATTAACCCTCCACGAATGTCGCCGTGAAATCTGACACGCTGATAAAAGCCACGCGTCCACAGGCAAAGTCGTCGGCAACAGCAGGACACCACCCCGATAGTGACAAAGCCATTAAGACAAGCATTCTTTGTAGGGTCAGCATCTTACAAGATCACAACGGTGTGCTGCAGCAGGAGGCCACTGACGCCCCGGGGGCGGACCGCTCCCAGTCCGGTCTGCTGAAGAGCGCAGACCAGTGTCCGGACGCCAAGCAGTACTGACCGGCGGCAGGACTCCAGTGAACGCAGACCGGTGTCCGGACGCCAAGCAGCATTGACCGGCGGCAGGACTCCAATGAGTGCCCGCCGATGACGGGACTACAGACGGAACATTGACCAGTGACGAGACTCCACACAGGAAACTGACCAGTGACGATACTCCGCAGGGAACATTGACCAGTGGCGGGACTACAGTGAACGCAGACCAATAACGAGACTCCAGACGGAACACTGACCAGTGACGGGACACCTCACTGAACACTGGTCAGTGACGGGACTCCTCACGGAGCACTGACCAGTGACGGGACACCTCCCCGAACACTGGTCAGTGACGGGACTCCTCACGGAACACTGGTCAGTGACGGGACTCCTCACGGAACACTGGTCAGTGACGGGACTCCTCACGGAACACTGACCAGTGACGGGACACCTCACCGAACACTGGTCAGTGACGGGACTCCCCACGGAACGCTGACCAGTGACGGGACTCCTCACGGGACACGAGCAGTGACCAGGTCGGAAGACGCGCTGAACATTGCTGAAACTTCAAGAAGCACAAGCCAGTGTCGAAACTCCCAGGAGTATAGGCCAGTTTCCTGACAATGCTCCAAAGTGCACCTGTCACTGACCAATTCTCATACCAGACTCCACAGGATGCTGACTGGTCTTTACAGACTCAACAGGCACTTCGAGCCAGGCCATTCTCGGCTATTGGGGAAGTTGTGCGCTCATCTTTTCTCACCGCACAGCTGGGATGTGATATTTCTGTCGAGCGTCTCGTGACGCTCAGCGTGATGGATCAATCGGAACTGGACGCTTGCACGCTCAGTTCGGAAGCCATGAACCGCTTGTGGTGTAAGCTTCGTCGCTGGGCTATATCGATGAGGCCATCAAGTTGCCAGGCTCAGAAACAGTGGCTATATCGTCGTAGGTACTTTATTGCTGCGTGTGTGGTCATAAGGTGCATGTGATTTAGGGATTCTCCTCGATGTAAATAAATTTTAAATATTGAACATTCTCGAAAGCCGTGGTTGGAAGCAAGCATACAAATGCCTCTTTTAATCCTAGTCATGTTCAAGCCAAGGTGACGTTAGGGCGCGAAAGTCGGGCGTGATGTCCAAAGTCAGGCTGCTGCGTAGATGTCCGATATAAAGCGTCTTCGACAGCCGGAGCGAAGTTCGTTATGGTCGTTCTGCTCAGTGCGAATATAATGCATATCAGTCTATTTAAAAGCCCTCGGTTTTGTAAGGAAGTCACTGCGAACGAACGAAATTCATGCGAACGGACCAAAGTGCCGTTTTAACTGGCTGAACAGTCTTCAACGCATTCTCATGAGAATCGTAAAATTGTTTTTGAGTACCTGACGCAGTTATGAATTCAACCAGATTGTGTGCAATTGCATTTTGTCACACGGAAGAATTCAATCAGCAATTATCGATATGTGCACAACTTTTGAATAGTCCAAGCATCATCTGACAGTCTTAGAGAAAAGGAGACCAGGGCGGTATGGCAGTGTGCTTCAACGCCAAGCACACGACTTATTAATGTTACATGTTTAGTCAATTACTGAGGGCTTATCTATCGTAGCTTTTCATGCTTAAATATTCAAAAGGATTTAAGCATACATTGGACATTAGTTATGTCTTACATGCGACAAGCAAACTCTCTTGGGTCTCATTTGGAATACCCTTGTGTATGTATTACACGCTACACTTTTTATCCTGATATCACCCGCTTTTGACTTGCGTTTGACGAGCTGAAAAAGTCTGTATAATTTAATGATATAAAAACAGACCATCAGTCATCAGTGGGACAAGTCTCCGGTTCCGTGTTTTTTTTTTGCGGGGTTTGCCTGAAATCTCTGATATCGCGGCATGCTTTAGCTTACACGGATATCAACAATTCCGGCCGTATACCGATGATCATGCATGAATATTTTCTTTACGGTGTCCCCGGAATGTCATATGTCTACACATTTGTATAACGGATGCATGAATGCCCCCTAAAAACTCCGATCAGAGGTCGTTTTTACTATGAAAATACCGTCTCTCAAGATATCTCTAGCTAGCGATTCGCCGCCACGAAACCGCAGAGCATAATGCCGGCATTTTTACTGCGCACAAAACGGCTAAGCCATTTAACGTAATTCGTCATCGTCAATTGCCTGTAAAAACTAAGCCCTGTGAAATCGTTAGTCAACATTTCTTTCTGGAGGCTCGTTTTTACAATTGTTTATGGTGATGCCTGGAGTTAATTCAAAGGAACAAAATATCCTCAGTGAAGGTATTTATTCTGTTGCATGACAATGGACTCAGGCTGATTCACTGCCGATATGCACACACGCGCACGCACACACACACACACACACACACACACACACACACACACACACACACACACACACACACACACACACACACACACACACACACACACACACACACACACACACACACACACACACACACACACACACACACACACACGCACACACACACACACACACACACACACACACACACACATTGTAGATGTCGTAGCACACGCACGTTGTGGATGTCCTGACGTCTATACGCAACAAGCGCACACAGTGTGAATCGCTTCTTATTCGTTCGCCAGTGAGAGAGCCGCGTATTGCTGCCGGCAGGAAACTCTGCTGGCGCCGGCACGCCCTGTTAGGCATCCCACCAGAGATGCTCTGGCGTCATGGTATGCGTATGTCACACCGATCACCCAGACTTCTGCATTTGCGTCGACACGCATCCGTCGAGGAAGACTGAAACAAAAACAACACGTTCCGGGCCTTGGTCAACGCAGTTGTGTGGGCCTGAAGCCAGTCGGCCGGATCTTGATCTCCATGGTAGCGAGGGAGTAGTGGAAGCCGCGCCAGAAGCGCCAGTCGATGCCGTCCGCGTAGCTGCCGTGCGGCCCGCGCAGGTACAGGCCGTTGGGGTTGCCGTTGTGGCAGGCGTCGTACCACCAGCCGCCCTTGTAGAGCTCGGCGCAGTTGCCGGCGCCGTACAGGTCGTTGTCGGTGTCGCGGGTGGTGAAGCCGACGCCGTTGGCGCTGCTCAGGCCGTCGCCGGCCGTGCCCGTGTACGCGCCGACCGTCAGCCGGTACTGATCACTGCCGGGCGCCACGGCGAAGCCGGCGTACTCGGCGTAGCGCCGCTCGCCGTCCAGGTCGGACATGTCGAGCCGCAGTGTGACCCGCCGGTCGCGCGTCAGCTGGTGGATCAGCTCGTTGCCGAGCCAGAACTCGGCGCTGCGGTTTCCGAAGCCGCGCTGGTAGTCGTCCCAGTCGCGGAAGAAGTCCTCATGCTGCGGCAGGTCGGCGCGCCGCTGCAGCACCGTCCAGCCGCCGCCGGCCGTCGCCATGTCGCAGTAGACGGAGACGAGCCGGGCGCGGCCCAGCTCCGGCCGGATGACGTACTCGCCGCTGACGGTGAAGCCCTGGCGGCGAAGGTCGGCGCAGTCGCGCGCCGGGCCGGCGCACGGCAGCGGCGGCGCGCGCGTCCGGTCAGCCACCACGTGCAGCAGCGCCGCGCTGCGCTGCTGGCTGGCGGCCACCTGGCGCAGCTGCTGGCGCGAGTTGTTGGCGAAGCGGTAGAACGAGTCGCTGAGCAGGGCCAGCCGCATGTCGGGATCGTCGGCGGGCTCGCGCCGGCTGACGTTGCGGCCCAGCTCGGCGATGCGCTCGGTGAGGTTGCCCAGCTGCTGCTGCACGGCCTGCTGGGTGCCGATGGCGATCTCGGCCACGTCCACCACCGACTTGAGCAGGCTGTCGTACTGCTCCTGCGCCGCCAGCTCCAGCTGCTCCAGCCGGGCGGCGCACGTGCACTGCCTGCTCGCCTGACGCATGGAGTCCTCCACGGCCGCCACCGTGTCCCGCATCGCCTCCCGCGTGTCTTGCAGCTGCGCCGCGATCGTCTCCTTGGTGTCCACCAGCTGCAGGCTGATGTCGTCCGCAACCGACTGCAGGTTGACACTCTGCAACTGCGGGAACGGCAGGTCAGCGCGGACAGCGGGTCGGCCGCAAACCCCGCCACGGGCTGACATTGATGACGGCGGGCAGGTCACGTGACGATGTCGCGCAGGTCAGCGCGGACAGCGGGTCGGCCGCAAACCCCGCCACGGGCTGACGCTGGTGACGGCGGGCAGGTCACGTGACGATGTCGCGCAGGTCATCATCATATCGCCCTACCCCGTGCCGCAGAACCGCCCACTTACCGCGGATGGTACTCAGTGACAGTGGTGCATTCAGATCAGCGCCAGCACGGACGGCTGTTGACTCCATGACGTCACCGGCAGAGGATGCTGCGCAGCAGGTATGGCGGCGGCCACATCAAGTTTCATCGCCATTATCACAACTTAACGTTTCGTGATTGAATGGTTCTCGCCCCACAAGCTTGGCCACACCAACTTGTCACAGCATTTCCCGCCTGCGTACCAAAGACTGTAGCGGTCGACTGTCCACCGTACAGTGCCACTACACTGTACAGCACAGTGTACACCGTCAGACGTCCATAGACAGCCTGTCACCGTCACCGTCACATACGTCACCGCAAACCGCAGCCTGGCTTTCTGAGACAGCGGGGCATTCACGTCAGCGGAGACCTACGGGCTGGCGCAGAAATCGCAGCAGAACACGGACTGGCGCCCTGGCGGCGGGTGGAGACGCCAGCGAGGACAGATCAGCAGCTGCAATTTCAGCGCAGCCTACAACAGACTGGCGTCCGTTGGCAGGAGCATGACGTCGTATTCAGTTCAGAGGTTTTAAACTCCGCTTTTCCCCGAAATGCATGATAGTTCTCCCAACTTGCACGTAGGCTCTCCCAACTTTGTAGCCGGCCCTTCTTATGTCATGCTCGTGGAAATTCCAAAGAAACAATTAGGAAAGGAAACAACACTAAATAGATGTTGCATGCGACGAAGACTTTCCAATTTCAGCATACCTGCTGCTGAAGGACTCTCAAGCATCGAAACAAACATTCACGATTATGACACACACATGCATCAACTTTCTCAAAACAATGTCTGTGGCAGCCCATATTCGGGGAGTACTTAGCATCTGGGGTACCAAAAGATAGTCAACACCGGACTGAGCCCCTCAGGCCATCTTGCAAAACTGCACGTCTGCCTGCGGAATATTCAAATCAGTCGGAACAGACGGGCAGCGCGAATCTACACCGCAGACTGCAGGCCGGCACTTTGCAATCGGCCAGGCGGTCAGATCTTCGGGGACAGATGGGGGCTGCTTACTGCGCCACAGACTGCAGAGTAGCGCTCTGTGAAGTAGTGCACGCAGATCAGTGGCGCCAAATGAGCGGCTGTGCGCTCCGGCGCGGGCTGGCTGGCCCGCAGCACAGCAGAGCAATGCGGTACAGCCTACTCGTTACGTTAATTAACGGCTCGGTGGGCGGGGCTGTTGAGCGGGATAAGTAGCCGCATGTTCACGTCGAAAAGCAACTGCCGATTGCTGGAGTTTGTCCAAATGGCTATGGCGTATTCTGGCAGAAACTTGGAGAGAATGTAGGGCTAGAATCCGATGAATAGGCTGAATACAATTCCTCACACCCAGAACCTAACGACGAGAATGGGAAGGATTGTTCTGATTGCGACGCCAGAGACTAAAGTTACTGTACTTTTTGTGACATGTTTCATCGTCCAAAGAAAGTGCACAGATAATGTTAACATATTTGGTTGCATTACATCACAGGCACAAAATAAGAAAAAGTTGATGGTGGGATCCAGTTCTGTGATTCTTTTGAATACAGGCTACTTTTCTTACATTAGCATTGCCTCGGAGAGCACGGGCTATACCCTCACATCGTTAGACGGCACTAAAAGTCTGCTTAGGTAATATAGTTTTCATTAAGCCGCCAAAATTCTGCGTGTGCGGACCGCTCAGTCCTGTGCAGGTATCCGTGCAGGTATCCAATCCTGTGCGGGTATCCGATCCCGTGCAGGTGTCCGTGTCATGCCACCGAGTCCACGTTTACTCAGTTCTTCACAGATTCCTCTAAATTCAGGCTGGCGATCCGACGATCGCCACGCTGTTCACGACGGCTCTGGTGAACATTCCCGCTGGTGATCAAACTTCCATCTCAAAACAATACTTTCGACACTTCAGAACATGCGTGTGACCGCTTGGGAGGCAGCAGGAGCAGGCTCTCCCTTCAGAAAAAAACAAAAATGAAAGTTTGCTGACATTTTTTCTATAAGCCCATGTTTACTACGCTTTCCCATTCAAAAATGAGTATTATTTCCGGGGCGGAATATCATCTCCAGATTCCAGTTAGCCGAAACCCCGTCCTGATTTGTAAAACGTGGCTACGCCGATGCCTCTAAGAGCAATGCTGATGTGACATAAAACACCAAGTATGCGCATTATCATGCACTATTCCGTTGCACGTCCCGTCTGCACACGTACGAACGCGTGGGTCGACCGTATGCGGATGCTCGGCATAGCTGGCCGCCACACATCAAGGTAATGCGGCACAGTCTACTCATTATATTTCTCATCAACGCCTCAAATTAGAGCTTTGCTAGTCCCTGCCGCAAAATCCCCAGGTTTTCAAATGAGTGGAACATACAACTCGGGATAAGAGGACATAGACCCTTGCTGTCCGAACCTCTGATGCTGACCATGCCGCAACAGAGACTGAGTCCTGGAACCACCGCGCTGTGAACGATTTTTTTTGGGGGGGGGCTTGAGCGCTCACTATATGATACAGTTAGAATTATGATAATAGCAGAGAATGAAAACAAAAAGTCCTTTCGGCCCCCGATCGTAGACGAGCCCCTGCGTCTCCAGTAGCAGCACAGCCTCCCACTGCACGTGGTAGGACATGTCGGACTGTCAGTGACAAATTATGCAAGAACTGAGCCAGTGCCAGCACTTTCAATAGCGCATGCTTTCGTCACCCGCGCTCTCGTCATCTTGGAAACACCGCTACGTCGAGGAGCGTTTTACATGCAGCCACACCCTTGTAGCACACTGTGCGACAAGCGATCTATTCACTAGACAGCACGATTCGGGCCATCAGCTAGCAAAACACGAATATTTACAAGGGAACCGCGGCCTATCGAGTAGAAGTCGCACCATTTGCCAGCCATCAACGCCCTGACGGCCAGCAGATACATCAAACGCCATGACCACCGCTCTCGGCGCCAGGTGTGCCCCTGCCGGCGCCGGACCGACGGCCGGGACGCGTCTCACCGAGGCCTGTCGCTTGCGGATGCCGCCGGGGCACCGCAGGCCGTCCAGCTGCTTGCGGATGGCGACGTCCACGGCGCTCTGGATCATGTCGCGCAGCTGGCGCTCGTCCTCGGGCGAGCTCTCGTAGAAGACGAGGCCGGCGGCGAGCGCTAGCAGCGCCGCCTGCGTCAGGAGGCCGGCCAGGCGACGCATGCTGCACGTGGGCCGCTGCGGAACGGACTGCCGCCGCCGCCGCGGCGGCTCGCGGCGGCACTCTCACCGATCGGGCGATACGGCGACCGGGGCGGGCCTCTCGGCGCGCTCGCCGGCGCCGACACAGCGACGTCTTCATGGCCAGCTGCAGACCCCGGCCGCGCCGCGAGGGAGCCGGCACGCGTGCGGATGCCAACGCCGACCGAGCGACGGCGGACACCGAGACACGTGGCGCAGGAGCGGGAGGGCAGGGGAGGGCGGTACCCTCGCCTACCGGAGGGCACCGGATTGCGTCCCACCGTCTGACCGAGCGGCAGCAGACGGCGGGATGCAATCCGGTCGGCGGCACCGTCTGATGTTGTCGGACGTTTGCTGATGATTTACGTGCCGACTGGGAGCATGTCTGATTGATTGTCCCGGTGGCCAGGAAAGCTGATCGATATTCCGAAAGCTGTACTTGATAGCAGATATCACGTAACGAAAAACACAACTCTAAACGACTTGCACCAGGTGTGAGGAAAACAGATATGTGTGTGTGTGTGTGTGTGCGTGTGTGTGTGTGTGTGCGTGTGCGTGCGCATGTGCGTGGGCGTGTGCGTGTGCGTGGCAAGACATGGGAAAGGGTCTTATTGCCTCAGAGGTAAGTGCAACTGAGGCTAAAACCACAGATTTACGTTTGGCCTTGATTTTGATATGGTTTTAGATTGAGCCTCTGGTAGGGCATCGGCAAAAATATGAAATGTCTGCTTTCATTTATAATCATGTTGACAGCTGTTCAGTCATTCAGAGCTTTTCTCGCCGCATTGAAAAGCTCAGGGTCTCATGTCCAGCTAAGCTATTAGAATGCAAACGGTAGCGGTACGCGTCACGTACGTGACACCGAAACGCGGCATTTTCTGGAAGTCAAGCAATCATGACCATTAATGGAGCCGGCATACCAACATTCGGGATCAGGCGGACCAGCTGGCACAGGTCTCTTTCATTTATCGGGAATTTTAAAAATATAATGGCCTTCAATTCCCTCAGAATGCGTGCTCGATATAAAAAATTCCTGGTAAGAATGGCGTAGCTCAGTGGTCTGGAGCGCCTGTGATCGTGAGCCATATCAAGGGCATCTGACAGGCTAGATGCTGGCAACCTGACTGTCATTCCTCCACTTCCTGCTGCAGCTGGGGAGTGAGATTGCGACGTCAAGAATCGCAAATGCTACAGGCGTGGAAAATCACGAAAATATGAGCGAACGGTTTGGACTTGACACAATTTGATGCGCTTTGTGTGAAACGTAGAAGGCGATGCACTGATTTCATCGCTTGCTATCATTATCGAAATCGTCGAGTCGAATTGCATGTGTCGAAATATTTTCCACAAATGGCAATGGAAGTTGGCATCCAAATATTTCCCATGCTGCTTTTAGGTATTCTTGATTTCATAAAGCTGAAATATGTCTAAAATCAGCATATCTTTTCTTTTTGTCTTTACCAGAAAACAGCTCATGACGAAAAGCTGTTCTGATATTTCGTCAATTAACATTCCTGTACACTATCTGGAAACCCACCTCAGGGAGTTCCCCGTTCCAGGGGAGCTGATCGTCTAAGAAACCTCAGTCGCCCCGGGCAGGCGCATGTCTGAGCGGACTGTTATAAACTGATGCTCACATCTAAATGAATACGGCAGTGAAAATCAGGAGCCTAGCCCCACGTGGATTGGATGATCGCTTCAGACATCGTTGACGTTCTCTGGGTCCTTTAAACAGCTCAAAAGCTCTTCAGTCTCTTGGAACCCAATATATTTGTGGATCTCAAAAGTGAAACCTGAGATCCCATGCCAGAGCACTTCAGTCGTAACGTGCGTGAACATGGTCATAACCGGCATGAAATACAGCAAATCCAGGCCCAAGCTATTTTCCTTCGCACACCAACATTTTTCACTGCACGCTCACACTACACCTCTTACATGCAACACTCACGTGCTACGTAACACATGATCTGTAGTCTGTTTTCCACTTTGAGCCCCTGTGTCCAGTCGTGAGTTCCATTTCACAACAGGCGCAAGCCAGTCCATGTCCAAGAGCCATGGCTGTTGTTTGTTAGAGCCTTTCAGCACCGGGACGTATGAAATAGAGTGGCTTGGTAAACCAAGCCCTTAAATGCCCCCAAACATAAGATGTAGTGGACTTGGGCCCGGGGACCGGGTTTGGGGACCGGGTCTGGGGACCGGGTCTGGGGACCAGGTCTGGTGACCGGGTCTGGTGACCGGGTCTGGTGACCGGGTCTGGTGACCGGGTCTGGTGACCGGGTCTGGTGACCGGGTCTGGGGACCGGGTCTGGGGACCGGGTCTGGGGACCGGGTCTGGGGACCGGGTCTGGGGACCGGGTCTGGAGACCGGGTCTGGGGACAGGGTCTGCGGACCGGGCCCGGGGATCGGGTCTGGGGACCGGGCCGGCCACTTGTGGGTGTCCTGAAAGAGATGACCCCGCGGCCAGTTCCAGCTACAGCGAGGTCGCTGGAGCGGTATGAGGAGACGCGCCACCCTGCTGGAACCATTCGACACGGGTGTCGTCAGAGAGGACCGCTGGAATCGAATTCAATAATTCTGAAGGATCTTCCGATGCTATCAGGCAGTGACACTCATAGGATTTCTGCAGCGGACCTCAAAGGGACACACCCACCTAAAATGTTTAAAGTTGGCTGCATCTGCGTCGCTGAATGGGCATGTGTGAGCTAAAACGTGGAATTCTTTTCACACGATCCGTCCTTCAGACCTTTAAAATTGTATCTGAGAGTGCGGCTGTTCTGGTATTTATCCCTTGCTGACGCCCACGCTGTTGGCAATCACTACTTGAAGAGTTTGTTTGGCTTACATAGGTTTCATTTACGTTCCACAAACTTGCCAGTTTTAACCATTTAGTCCCAACGTTGTAAGATTGTTGAGAGGCATGGTAGTCTGCAAGAGCCGATTTTGATAGAAAGCTACTCTTGGGCATTTCCATGGAACCAAATCTATCAATCACTCTAGTCAAGAACGTCTTTATGAAAGTGAGCGGTAAAAATTGTACAGCGCAACAATGTTTGGCGGCACTGGAGTGCACTTCACCGAGTTGGCCCTTGGCACAAAAAAATGACGTTGGACAGAAAAAAACAAGATTATGGTCGATACCGTCCAGATGTTTTAAAGCTTACGGCAAGTGGCGAACGTAATCTACTAAAATACCTTGTGTGCTTCATCTGAGCACCAAACCTTCTTCATAAATTCATCGAATTTCTGACATTGCCGAATCGGCCATGGAAAAATCGCTCTCCGACTCTCCATGTCCCGGCCTGATTCCCATTGACAAACTTATACTTTCTGGATATCCCTAAGTTTGGAGATTGTCTGGACATCTTATCTGGATCAGGCACTCGATGTATTTCTCTGAACTGATTCTTCACGATTACACTCTCCGTTGGCCTCAATGCTGTGCGCTCTGGATGAGCTATCGTCGCTTACAGGACCGTTGCCCGTTCGGAATTCCCGAGCTAAAATAATCGACTTAGTCGCAGTGGCGTATCCCAGGGGGGGGGGGGGGGGGACGCATGCCACCCGGGAGGTGGCGTGCCTCCCCCTCCCAGGGGCTAAGGGCTCCAGCACTTTTCGGTTGTTTTCGGTTGTTTCGGTTGTAAGGTGCCCATAAGACATGTAAAACACCAAAGTACGTACCCAGAGGCGTGATGTTAGGACCAAAAGTTCTTTCGAATCCAACAGAAGGCTTGATAAAGCGACAGAGATGGCCCCTTTCAATAATAGTGCGCTGAGCGAAATCCTGGCTACGCTACCATGCTTTGTAACAAAGAGTTTGTAACAATCATTCAAACTGCATCACGGCATGTTCACTGACAGGTAGAAATCCCATGCACATCACACTTCTCATCCAAGACCAAGCACGAACATGCAATGAAAATGAAGCTGCTGCATTATGAATACACTGTCATGCGTCTACCAAGCATTGGAGCAATGGTAATTCACCAGTGGCCTGCAACTTTTAGAGGCGATACCAGGCGTTCCAGTACTCCACACTTAGTTCGGTCAGAGTACGTGGAGGGGGGGGGGGGGGGGCTCGTGTCACTTTCCGGTCCCCCTCCGGCCCGCGCACTCCGAGACGTATCTCGTCGCGCGCCATTTGCCTGCTGGATACCACTTTCCGTATGCGAGGTGCCTTATGCTAAGCGCTGCGTCATCACTTTCATCGCGATGTCCGGCCCGCCGGTGAGTCTGGTGGTTGGCTTTCAGACGCCTTGCTCAGGACATGTCGCAGGGCGGTCGCATTAAGGCGCCGGTGCTGCAACGCTGCATACGCTCAAGCCATCTGCGGCGCCGGTCCAACAGGACGGCGGGGAAGCACAATTGCGACAGGGAAAGTATCAAAATGGAGAAAAATCGAATGGCCAATTTTCAGAATGCAAAGTGTTCGCAGACGGCAATATGAAAATGGGAAGTGATAAGATTTTCGGCAGAATGAATATTTAGAGGGATAAAGGTCAAGCGCATTTACAATGGAGAACTGTGTTCAGCTTGAGCAGCATTGCAATCGAAAAAGAGATGTGTCGATGCACCTTTTCGTGTCGTCAAGCTAATGATCGACAGGGACCTGAAGCTAGAAATAATCGACCTGTGAAGTATTGACAGGATAAGACCGCAAAATGCAAAACTCTAATCACGCTTACTAGCGGCATGTGGTATGCCCGTTTAAGTACAAACCACCTTTTCTTAACAAGTCAGCGTATCGGCATCGGGGGGGGGGGGGGGGGGAAGGGAGAGGGGAGAAGCGATGAATCGAAAAGACATGTTCGTTCTCTCGTGAAGGTAGACAGTGTTCGATGAAAAACTGCAAAGTTAGGCCATGGGCTAGAAAAAAGAGTTTCAGTGACATTGCTCGCTCCATAAAGATGATTCTTTTTTGATAAAGTTGGTTTCAAGAATGATATATTTGACCACGAAATGGGAAAATTTCAAACAAAAGTCATTTTTACAATTTTTGAACACGGGGTCATTCTTGAGGCCATAGTTCTGAGCAAAGAAAGTAAGATAAAACAGCCAATGAATGTGCTGTGACCTTCACAAAAACCGCGACTGCTACTTTACCCACGATCAGCTGCATGGCGTGGTGACTGACCGCAGCAGCTGACGGCCGAGCACGTAGTCCAGCCGGGTCCCGGCACCCTGCGCTCTTCCGCTGCTCGAGGTCGTCCTGATGGAACACTGTGCGGTGGAGCTATCCTGACACCTCCGTCATTCCAGCGCCTGCGCCGTGACCCTGGTCTGTGGCAGGCCGCTGCCTCCCGCGACTGCTGGGGCAGCCGAAAGCTTCCCGTCTTTGCAGTGCCAGGCGCCGGTGATGAAGATTGCGTGATGGTACTTCACTGTCCTCAGGTCATCATATGCTTTATGTTCGCGGCACGCTCGTGTGGTTATGCTCTGTGCTTATCAATCACACGGGAATGACCAGGGATCTTCAGGTTGTTGAAACAGTAGTGCAAATGAATCACCTGTACGTCATTTGCTTGATAGTCTTTTCGGGTAGGGCTAAGGGATCGACTGTTTCGAGCCTTGCATAAGACAAAATAAAGACTATCCTGCTTCTCAGTGGTGTTTTACTAATTAACTTTCTAGGACACCATTGCTCGTATCGATCACTTACCCTGACAATTTTGTCATTCTATAAAAAATCGATTTTGCAGTTCATCCATTCCTTCTTGAAGCGCCGCGTGCGATCCTGACGCCGGACCGCATCAGCCTCCCTCCCGCTTCCGACTCAGTGGCGTCAAGCCATGCCCCCGACGCCGATCGGTGACGTCACACGCACGCGCCCGAGCCGGAGTCTCGGCTTACGAAGTCGATAGTATTTACAGAGCGCCGAGAGGCACCAACTCTTAGCACAGCGCAGAGTGGAAGAGGGGGCGAAGCTTACAACCATCCCGGAGTGTGTATAAAACCGTGAGACATATATTATCGTCACACATTAAACCATTACGCAGGATTCGAGTGAAAAACATCAGGGACGAGCGGCCCTGTTACTCAGCTTGTAACTCCAGGCAGACTACTTTGTTAAACTATTTTTGCCAAGGCGGATGCAGGATCCAGACATGTTGATCAGTTCCAGTATATTTTATGCTGGTTAGTTGCTCAAAAGCTGAGAATATGATGAAAACATGAAATGTTGTTTTAGTAAGAAAAAAGTAATGTTGTGTGCATACTAATTTACTAGACGAGGACAATATTTTAATCATTCTGTAACAACGTAAAGACGGCTTGAAAACTGCAACTTAATTTTGTTAAAAAAATAGTGTTTTAATGGCCTTACGTGACCCATAAAAGTAGTGTCATTTACGTAAAACGCCAGTATTGATGTATTGGGCTAAATAGAACAAACATATAAAAAAGAAACCTTTACGAATTGCTGAAAAGTGGGTAGCACTTATAATCATAGTCACGAGCAAAACAGGCTAAGAAAAAATCGAGATTGAAAAGCCTAAATCATTCAAAAGACAGGATATGCAAGCTCTGACAATGAAAAGGCAATCAAACACTCAAATTACCATACCTGATGCACAATAATATTCTAAGGATCGTTTGATACACAGAAGGCTCAGAAGAAATATCTGTGAGACCTGTGCCGAGCATGACGTTAGAAATTAGCGACCCAAGTATGTACATTAATGCAGTCATTCGAGTTCCCACACCCCATCATCTGAAACACGGTATTGTACGAAGAGTGTCCTTAGTTCTCCTTAAATGGAGCGTAGTGCAACAAACGACCAACTTAAGTAGAAATGGAGGGCAACAAACACCATCTTAAATAGAAATGGAGGGCAGTATCCACCCCATGCGCGTGACAGGCGGCAGCTCAGGACGCACGCATCTCCCATATAAGCATGGACATGTCGCCTTGCATCTTCCCCCTGGGATAACGTTGTGTGGTAGTGGTTTTACATAGAACGTCATCCTGCTCGTGCTTGAACAAATTTGCTTTTGTCATGAATGTGTGCCCTGCTCCATTCGTGTTAAGATTTGTAAGCCGAGGTAGGATGCAGAACTGAATATAGTCGTTCGTTTTGTGTTTGCAAACAAAATCCTGCAGTCACAACCAACATTCCATTGAAAAGTTTGCTTGACGTGGATGAAGGTTGGTAATCATGGGGCTCATTACATTCGTTAGGGGCTCAGCCAAAGTAAGTTGACCGTCCACGACGCGACGGTCCGTTTCAGCGGGGTGGCCCGTCTCAGCGAGGCGGCCGTCCACTCGACGGTCCGTCTCAGCGAGGCGGCTGTCCGCGCCACGGTCCGTCTCAGCAGGGTGGCCGTCCACGCGACGATCCGTCTCAGCGAGGCGGCTGTCCACGCGACGGTCCGTCTCAGTGGGGTGGCCGTCCACGCGTAAGTCCGTCTCAGCGGGGTGGCCGTCCACGCGACGGTCCGCCTCAGCGGGGTGGCCGTCCACTCGACAGTCCGCCTCAGCGAGGCGGCCGTCCACGGGACGGTCCGTCTCAGCGAGGCGGCCGTCCACGCGACGTTCCGCCTCAGCGGGGTGGCCGTCCACTCGACAGTCCGCCTCAGCGAGGCGGCCGTCCACGCGGCAGTCCGCCTCAGCGGGGCGGCCGTCCACGCGGCAGTCCGTCTCAGCGGGGCGGCTGTCCACGCGGCAGTCCGTCTCAGCGAGGCGGCCGTCCACGCGGCAGTCCGCCTCAGTGAGGCGGCCACGGCCAGAGCCAGCTCTCTCCGTGGCTGTCCCCGCCGGTGGACAGGACCGTTGGTCGCCTGTCGGACCGGAAGCTAAGACCGGCGGGCTGCAGCGCTGGCCGCGCGGCGCCCGGCTGACGGCCGAACGTCGTCATTTGAGTGCCAACAGATTAGATCCAGTAACCGTGGG